GCAACGACAGGATGGCTGGTGGACCCTGGACACCGTGGGACGACGCGCAATGGTGAGCGCACAATTTAGACGCTCATATAGTAGACACAAAGCGTCACTTTACGTAGATTGCATGCACGTAGACATAAATCGCATTGGGTCCGACGGGAAGTAAAGTAAGAATTGGAATTTGCAATTCGCCGGAGTTACGTAAGAATGATCCAACCAAAGAATTTATTCTGAGATTTTCGCTATTTTCGCAATTTCAACAAGTCAAGCATTTCCATTTTTTTAAGAATACTGACTAGCTCAATCCTTAGAAAAATGTGCAAAAAGATGCAACTGGTAAAAAATAAAAAAACTGTTTCTTAATTCATTTCAAGCATCTATAAAGCTTGAATTTTTTTGTTTGGTTTAAAAAGATGTGAATGGAGTATCCATTGATAAAAGCTTATAATTTCTTGAATTGGATCATTCTTGCATAACAATGACCAACTGAAATTTCGACTCGGCAGGCGTCCTTCTCGTCGGATTGTTTCTTTATCATACATTAAACTGATATATTTCAACATGTCATATTTATATGCTCTGTATATGTTATATATGCTTTTTTATGCTCTATATATGTTTTATACCTATGCTATATATATTCTATATATACTATATAATTAATATACTTTATAACTTGTTATGCCGTATTATATACGACATACTATCTCTTCGGAGATATTTTCTTATACGCGTTTGTTGTTGACAAAACGACAAATTAAATTCCGACAAATTAAAGACAACAAATTAAATTAAGCCGAAGCTCGAACCGAAATATTTTGATTTCCTGCTAAATTATTAAACCGAGATTCGGTTCCGAGTATTTTGAGATTCCGCTAAACTATTAAACCGAAATTCGAGCCAATGTGTTTTGAGACTCCGCTAAATTACTAAGCCGAGATTTGAAACGAAGTGTTTTGAGTTTTTGCTAATTTATTAAGTCGAGTTAGTTAAGTCTGGGATAATTTTTTAAAGTTGCTTGAAGAAATTCTCACGTTTGCAAAAGTGCGTTATCGAAAATGACGTGAAGTCTACGTATTTCGCTTCGCATCATCTCTTGGATGACAACGTGCCTTAAGATCACTCTATTCTCCCAGCAGCACCAAAATTTTGAAAATAATTTGCCAATATCCCAAAGTCGCACCCATAATTAGATCCATCGTAACACTATATACGGATTCTCGCGCATGCGCAATGCCTATTCTGCGAAAGTTAGTCATGTTAGGTAATGTCATATAGTGATATCATATAGAGCACATTCTAGGGTAATTTTTCACAGATTTTTAAAGAAATTTTCGCGGTTGTAGATGTTCAATTTCGAGAAAGACGTCAAGTATGCTAATTTCGCTTTGCATCGTCTCCTGGATGACAATATGTGCTTGTGTCACTCTATACCATCCGTAGCACACTCGGAATCTTGAAAATAATTTGCCAATATCCTAATATCGCACCTATACCGTTAGATCCATCATTGTATTATATTCGGATTCTCACGCATGCGTAGTGTTATGCGGATGGGCCGAAAGTCGGTCATGTTAGTGCAAGTTAGGTCATATAATGATAGCATGTAGAACACATTCTAGCTTAATTTTTCACAGTCTTTTAAAGTAATTTTCGCGATTGCGAAAGTTTAATTTCGAGAATGACATGTGTATTTCGCTTTTCATCGTCTGCTGAATGACAATGTGTGTTTGTGTCTCTCTACTCCCTCAGTAACACGTCCAGAATTTTGAAAATATTTTTCCAATATCTCAAAATCGCGTTCATAATATTAGATCGAATGTCGGACTTAATGTCGAATGTCGGATTCTTGCTTATGGGCCGAAAGTCAGTCATGTTACTGCAGGTGATTATAATGTTAGGATCTAAAGTACATCCTGGTATAATATCTTACAGTTTTTTGAAGTAATTTTCGCGTTTGCATAGATGTATTTTCGAAAATGATGTGAAGTTTGATTATTTTACTCTGCATCGTCTTTCGGATCACAATGTGAGTCAATGTGACTCTATTCCTTCAGTAATCCTGCCCAGTATCCTGAAAATAATTTTTCAATATCCCAAAGTCGCGTTCACAACGTTAGATCCACTATGGCTGCGTTCGCTTTGAGGGTTTATGCGCTGTAAGCGTCATTCTTCCCGCATGTAATGAGCGTTAAAGATAGAATGACGTTTACAGCGCGTAAGCGCCCAAAGCGAATGCAGCCTATATTTCACTATATCTTACCAAATTTTCTCGCTAAATTAAGCCGAGATTCGAACCAGTGTGTTTGGGGTCTCAGCTAAACTATTGAGCCGAGATTCGAACCGAGCTGTTTGGTCTTCGGTATTATTTGTATTATTATATATTACTAATTCCAATAAGATGAATTGTGGAGCAGATAGTGCCCTTTGAATCATTTTGATATCTTTAGTGGTTGCCAAGAAATGCCCGAAAAATGCAATTGATAGTAAAATGGCTGTTACTGACGTCAAAAAGTATGCACGCTTCCACGGCTTATTTAACGAACCGTTATTAATAGTATTATTATAGTATTAGTATTATTAGTATCATTGTAAACTCTGAATTCCAACAGGATAAATTGTGAAGAACATTGTTTTCTTTGAATCACATCGATATCTTTTGTGGCTGCCGAGAAATAAGCAAGAAATATGAGCGGCATGTTTAAACTTGTATATTTATTTATTGTTTCATATTGTCCAGTTTCCAAATCGTTTTTCCTTACAAAATTAGAATGCAGCGCGAGAAAGACGAGACTGATGAGAGATAATCTTAGCAAGAGAGATAAGCTTTGCAATAAGTTCACCGTTAGCTTGCTTCGTGCTTACATCGCGCGGTCCACTCATCAGTGGTGAGACAAGAATAGAGCGATTGGACGTTTGTCCTTTTTTAACTTACTATCATTGTACGGAAATACAACGGGCACGAACCAGGCACATTTTATCGTTACCACCACGAAAATGCGCCTAACGAATGTAGTAAATGCGCACTTTGTTAGATGGCATCTTAAAAATGCACCTAGCACTGGCCATTAAATCAAGCTAGTGGTCGCTCTCAGGCTTCTCTCTAATAAGAGCAAATTTTGTTCGAATTAACGCGATGTCAGTGTAAATCTTACTAAAAGCCTACAATTTCTCGAAGCATTCGAATACAAATCAAATATTCAAATCATTTTGTTTGTACGGTTATACATTGTGGACGAGACGTAATAATATTAAAAGACGTCGCATTTGATTTTTCAAAGATTAGGTGGATTGTGTGATTGGTTGGCTAGCGTTGCGCTGAGCGTATCGGTATATTTCGAGAAACTTAATCGCGACAATGTTCAGCTCGGTACGGAATGGCCGCGGCGCAATTGCGTAGGTTCGTGGGGTCGTTTCGTTTTCGCACGGTTCAGCTTGTCGAAGCAAGCCTTGCGTACTGAATATCGTTCCCGAGAGTGTCGAATGTGAGTGTCGCGCATTGACAGAATATCGTGAATAATCACGGGACGAATTGTGCCGATAAGACTGCGCGAGAGGAGCTTCGTCTTTTCGAATGGTTCGCCTTGTAGTCGAAGGAAACTGGTGAGTGCCAACAGGAGATTCTAGCAGATGTGATCCACGAATCTTAGGTCTATTTGTTTTCGAAGAATTTCTGCTCTGATGCAAGTAAGAGCGGAACAAATAAACTTTCTTTCACTTTAACTTATTGCACCGGTGTGCACTAGTTCAGAAGTTCTTCGGGAACGAACAGATCTCTTATCTGCCGAAACATGTTTTTCGTTCGGAAATTCACTAATCCACCTAGGTTGCATTTCAAAACGTCCTTTTTGAGGAAATTTTATTCGATGCTTTATAGTATATGTAACGTGAACTGTAGATATTGAGTAAAATGTTCCTCAAAAAGGATGTTTTGGAATGTACCTTAGAATATAAGAGAAAGGGCGCATTGCTCTGGCGCCAAGGATTGCGATAAAGACGATGTATAAGTGATAGGAAGAGTTGTACTTTGTAAGTTGAAGATTACTCTTATATCGATAATCAACATACGTGCTTATGACAAAATATTCATATTTGATAGAAAGATGAAAAATGAGGAAAGTTTGGCAAATAATTTTTTCTGTTCGTCTTTACTATCACTTACCGACCGAAAAGCTTACGAGTTTCACCGTCGTGTGGCTCTGTAGGAACTACTTGCGTGGTCGTTTGCGTCATGTTAGGTTTGTTTCTTAGGGCTATCGCACACAAATTGACATAACTGCATATGCATAGCATAAGACCGTATGTACCAATGAGCATCGAGTATTAAGCATCGAACACCAATATGGCGACTTAATACTCGATGCTCATTGGTACATACGGTCTTATGCTATACATATGCAGTTATGTCAATTTGTGTGCGATAGCCCTTACACGCCGAATGGATTGAGATTTTTTTCTTCGAGATAGAAGCTTTAAGGGACGTCTACATTGGAAGTAAATAGCAAGAAGTAGGAAGTAAGAGTAAGAAATTGACCAACCACAGTCGAATGTGAGAAGAATAATCAACTATGATTGGTCAATTTCTTATTCTTACTTCCTACTTCTTATTGCTTACTCCCAATGTAAACGTCCCTTTAGAGTGTGAAGTGCCGGGAATAATACTTCAGATTGAGTGTATATCAGTTGGACACGGGGCAATTGGACACAGTCCAATCACAAGTCGCTGTTTCAAGGGACCCTACAAATGTCTCTAATCACACGGTGCTGTGATTGGCTGTGTCCAAATGCACCGTGTCCAAGTGCACCGCTCCCCTTCAGATTAACGTCGTTGAAATAAAAGTGCAAAAAAATTATTCGCAATGTCGGGTACATCAGAATCAGAGTGTCATTCGTCCGATGAAGAGGTAAAGTATCACGAATTATGTTTATATTCGTTCATGCATTATGCGTATCCTAACCTATTTCAACCTCTTTTTATTCACGTGGCTAACTGCAAGAGGCTTTTGCAAAGGGATTAGAGATTAAGACCTGAAGCCAGGTCTTAATGTCGCGATTGAAACAAAGCAATTCAAGAATCGTGTCGTAAGTAGTCAACTTTTTCGTTACAGATAATCACGATAATGTTTAATTTAACCTAATCTAACCTAATCTAACTTCCTCCTTAAACAACTCGCAGAGTCTCATGAAGCAAAAGTTGGACGAAATCAAGCTGGACTTGCCATGGATTGAGAGGTTAGATATGGTGAATGCACCAGCACCATTGGCACCTGAGTTAGCGCTGCAGATGCAGGAGCAAGAAGTGAGACACTCTAAGCAGTTGAAAGGAAACAAAAAGCTACCGCAGTATGAGCCATCAGAAGATCCTATTTTAAATGATTTTCGCAGGGAAACTATGTTTCATCGTCAAGCTCAAGGTGCCGTTATGGATGGCATTGCTAGATTAAAGAAACTCAGAGTGCCAACACTTAGGCCAGATAACTATTTCGCAGAAATGGCCAAAGCTGATCAGCACATGCAAAAAGTGAGGGATAATCTGATGAAGAAACAAGTTATTGCCCAGAGATCGGAGAGAGTCAGGCAACTGAGGCAACAGAGGAAGATAGACAAGCAAATGCAAGTTGAGGCGACATTGAAGAAACAAGCAGAGAAGAAGAAAATGCTTGAAGAGGTCAAAAAGTATCGTAAGGGTATACGACAAGATCTTAATTTTCTCGAGGAGAAGAAGAATGTACAACATAAACAGCGGTGACAGCAAGACAAATCCAAAGGTGCAATTAAG